ACCATCAAAACCTATCAAAGTTGAGGGAGATTTGCTGATTACGCTTTTGTTTTAACGTGCAAAATCAAAGTCAGATTTTTTGACCACTTCATACTTTATGAGTCATATTATGATTTTGGTTTAAATACTTACATATATTAAGAAGAAGAAAATATATACATAATCACATCGATATGCAAAAGAAAGATAAGAATGATAGCATCTAGTATAGAATACTGTATTAGCCTTTTTTATTCATTTGGTAAAAGTGCCACAGTCTGGAAACCTACGGCCTATTTTTAGTTCATACGTTTTATGCATATAAAATTCCCAACTGTATGAAGTAAATGTCGGCCGAGGTAGTATCTTGGCATGTGATCTTCGAAACTTCAAAAAAAAAAACATCATTGTTCTGAAGGAAAAGGATACCATCTACTATTTTTGAGTTCGATAAAACCTGACGTGTTTTACATACCCGTAGCTATACTCTCTCGTTTTTATACTCAGCTAGCAAACCCGAGAGAGGTTAAGCAAGCAAAGCCTGCAGAGGATACGTTAAATCTTTTTACCGAATTTTTTATTACCAATTTTGTTTCTGACACTGATAGCACGCCGTGTAGTTCTGATTTTTCAAATTCCTCTTTATTATTTGGTTTTTTGTCCATAAAGGCCTGTATGCAGCTCGCAAGAAAAGCAAAAACTCCATATAAAATGACGTACAAGAAATGTCTAAGAAATTTTCTTGAGTCAAATTTCCTTAAGGCAGTACGCAGTTCTTAAGAAATTTACTACGCTTTCTACTACGGTTTTCTAAAGTTTTTTGTGAAAAAAGAGCACAAGGCAACCCAGGCTTGCAACAGAAATATATGCCCGTTCCATTATTTCTTGAGGAAAGAGTGAGGCAACAGGCTGTGAGGTATCAAAAATGTCAAAATTCCTTGGACACACACGCGAAATAATGGAAATTTTTTCTTGACCGTTTTCTTGAGAGCTGCATACAAGGCTTAACAGTGGATGATGTTCAAAAAGCTATTATTTCTCTTAAGCCCTCAATGCAAACTGATGCTGATGGTTTATCATATATATTGTTAAAAAACTGCTACTCCTTCAGTTTTTTAATAAATCGCTCACATCTGTGCTATTCTTACAGGACTGGAAAAATTCATATGTTACGCCAATCTTCAAAAGTGGTAACAAGAACGATGTTACAAATCAGTGGCGAAGGAGGGCGGATTAAAAAAAAATTTGCATCGATAACTTAAAGTTGTGATACACAATGGCTAGAGGCGTCGCACTATAGGCAAAACACAAGTTTTTTTTTTCAAAATCGTATATCTTCGCTTAGAAAAGAGATAATGGAATGAAAAGTTTTTTATCGTGAAGATAAATGATCATATAATATAGGAAAACTAT